AGGAAGGAAATAATTTCTAAAGTGGAGGCAATTGAATGCTGCAGGCACTAACTTTTATAAGTATTCATCTTCATCATAATCGCAAAATCTATGATCGTATTCAACCTAAAATTAAACGCAATTATGATAATATTTATTTGAAAACAGTTTGTTTGAAATAAGCCAAAAGAAAGAAAATACAACGAATAAAATCGATGAAAACCACGCACGAATTATCCATCCAACATTTATCAGTTATCATGAAAACATACAAATATTTCCTTCTATCTATTATTTTACATTCAAAATTTTTAAATAAGGTTAGTAATTTTTTTTAAAATTAAAATATTAAAATTTTTTTAAATTTTTAAATTTAAAATTTTAATATTAAAAATTTTCAATCTTTTAAATTCCCACAATTTTTCCTCAAAAATATATATTTTAATTTGCATTAGTTGAAATCATAAATATTCTTTTAAATGCCTATTTTTATTTGCATTTTTGTTCAATTTTACAATGGTTCCAAAACAGGAATTTCTCCAAATTTGCTTCTATGAATAAAATCACCTTTTACATATATTCGGTCGGAATGCAGTAAAAAACATCAAATCTGAGACTTAGAAAATAATGCATAGCGCAAAACTGGCTTTAAAGATTCTCGTGGTGAATCCAGCGAGATCAGAAAAATTGAGGTGATACTGACGATTCTTTGATATTCACGCATAACTATCCGACATTGAGAAAGGCGAAGAAGTTCGATAAAGAAGCTTACGTGCTGTATAAATTGAATGAAAACCAAAAAATCGCCACAATAAAGGTTGGACTTCTGGGCGAAACAGAAACAACAGATTTCTTGGCCGCTAAGTGATGCGCAATAAAAATGATAAGACAAGTAGCTGCAGCTCCGCTCAATGAAGTGGTCGGATCGAGATGTAGTTTCCAAATATTTTCCAAAGCGCAATTTATAAAACCAAAAGAATCAACGTTTGTTGGTCTACATTCGGATTAATTCACCACAGCTTTCCAAATCCTGGTGAAATGACCAGAGGTGCACTACCATGAAATCGTCGAAATACATGAAAAAATGTAGCATATATGTTTTGGCCAGTTGATTAACATAGCCAATAGATTTGGTTAATATTTATTATAATAGAAAAGATCCAATCTTCTTGCATATATTATTCAACCAAAGAGATTAGATGGAGAAACTCGGATTGCATATTTATTGGATTTCTCACCAATCGACCACCACTTTTTCAAGCATCTCCACAACTTCTTGTGAGGAAATCCTTCAACGATTCCAAACGATCCAAAAAATTCCTTCGAAAAATTCGTCACTTCCGTTTATCTTCAATATTCTAAGCTAACCAATAGATTTGCCAATAGATTTGGTTAATGCCAAAATAAATTTTTTTCGTTGAATCCAATTTAATATTTTTTAACCAATCATAAATTTTTTACTAATAAATTTTTACTAAATTTTTTACTAATTTCAAAATATTTAAATTTCTTGAGATAGAAAACCAAATTAGAAATGAACGATAGAGAACAATTCTTTTTTATCTGAAAGATTTTGCGATACAAGTGAAATTTTTCCTCTTTTTTGAGAACTAGACGGTTATATGGCCATTATTAAAAATAAACGTAGTATTGAAGAGTAATCACTTTTATCACTTATCATTTATCACTTTTAAGATTAGTTTATCACTTTTAAGATATTTAATTACTTGATAATTATTGTTGTTGGTTAATTTTATTTCCAGATCTAGAAACTATTAGAATAAATTATAATAAAAACAAGCCATGCTTAATTTGCTATGAAATCAACTAACATAGCACTCAATTTTTCTTTATCAATGAAGTTGAATTTTTGGTTCAGAATTTGACTTTTAATAAATGATCCGAACCATGACTCTTAAACTGTTAGTTCAAAATAAGGCTTGGTCATATCGTTCCGCAAACTGGGCACGACTTTGAAAAAACCTAAGTGATAACTGAATAAAATCATAGTAACTGGAATATTTGTGGTTATATCTCAACTATAACAACTAAGTTTAAAACGTAATTTAAAGGAATGCTTGAAGATTATCCATCTCTATAAACCAGCTCCAAGTGATTCTTTGGTTTTTAATATCTCTCATTTTAGCAACCAGTAGAGTGAACCAAGCCAAATGGTGCGTGCTGTTAGGAGAAAAAAAAACAACAACAGCAAACTTCATTAAATGGTAAAGATAAAAGATAAGATAAAAGACTTATACATTATAAAATTCTGTGTTTTTCATTCGAAAAAATACATAAAAAACAATAATAGATGAAATGAATCGACGATGTATCACTGAAATAGAATAAAAAATTTGAAACCAATTTCTGACATATAATCTTCCCCTTGCACCTCCCCTCTCCCCTCCTTCCTTCCCCCTCCCTATTTCACTTCCACCTCACCATTTCTAATTAAAAAATTATTAAAGGCAATTCTTGTAGATATTATAGATAATTCTTATAGATTTTTTAGATATCATATTTTTATAATCATAAAATTGACCAAAATATTGGAAAAAAAAACGTTTGATAAGAGAAAGAAACATTATTTATATATTCAATCTTTTCCGATAATATTGTAATTATTCAAATTATTTCATATTAATTTTTAATATTTATATTTAATATTAATATTTAATATTTATATTTAATATTTATATTAAAATCGTTTTTTTAATGCGATTTTTTTTAATAAAAAATATTATAATATTTATTTAAGGAAATTATTGTAGGAAAATTATTTCGTACCAGTGCGTCTGACTTTGCTAATTCAAATCGTAAATGTTTATCAACATTGGATTCACTCGATGCATCATTCAAAACTATTGTCTCCAATTTAATCTGACCACGAATTCCATCCGAATTTATTGATACATGTGTTGGTAGCTAAAATTTCCAGTTTTTTTTTAAATAAAAAATTTCGATTAAAATTTTATTTTTAAAAAAAAATTTTATAAAAATTCTTTCTAAAAAATCTAAACTTTATCAAATTTTAAAATGCTCTAAAGTTATTTGCTTATTGGAAAATTATATAAATTATTTGATGAGAGACAAACAAATTCTTTTGCTAAAAGCTGGTACATTAGTGGACTCTTTTATGATCACATAAAGTTTTTTTGGCTCATAATTTATGTATTTTATTCATTTTTTGATATATTTTAAAATAAATTATTAATTGTTTTTAAAATTGATGATCGAGTTGTGCCTCATTTGGCTTAATAAAAATAGATAAAAAGAATATTGGTGATCTAATTGATTTCTATTCATTTTATGCTTCATTATTTACTTATGGCATTAAGGATCCTCTCGTCGCGAAATGCGATGTTTTTTCTATATTTATTATTTTAAACTGGTGACTCCGACTCGCCAAAGGAAACTCATTAAATTAATCGATTCTTTGCTTACTCGATTTTCTCTCATCAATAAAAAAATTAAAGTTAATTTATAGCTTCTCAAGAAAATTGTTCTTTTATTGTTGAGGGGTTGGGCGGTTGGGTCCCAATATTTCAATATTTTTGTTATTTAATATCCTTTACACTGTTTAACCTTTTCTTTTTCGTTTTTGATAGATATGTTTTTAATCCAATAGAATTGGGAATAGGATGGCTCAGTGGGTTGTTGCTGAATTTGGAGCGCTGATGCTGAGGTTCGATTCTCCGCAAGAGTAAACCTGTATAAAAATCCGGGTGATGCTGGCGACTCACCTGTACTTCTATCGCCAAGGGATTCTCTGGCATATTGCCTAATGCGACAAGCCAGTGAAGCGAGTTTAACCAGTAATGGTAAAGACTCTTCAAAAAAAAGTCTATGGATTTATTTGTATTGTATCGAACATTGCTTTTTCTTTTCAATATGTTAATGAAGTTTAATTGCGCAAGTTTTAGGGAAGAATAAAATTTTTACAAATATGCAGTGATCAATATTTCTATTGTCCAGATTAAGGTTTTCTGTTTTCTAAAATGGCGTGGCAAGCGTTGCATCATTTATTTTTACACCTCCGATTTTCGGTGCTAACCTATTTTTCTACCTTAGAACCAAACGACCTGGAAGAATAGTCTCGAGTTAGGCAATCATTAATCAGAAATCATTAATCAGTAAGGGGATAACCAGTTAATTAACAGATTTTTTCTTCTCCGCATTATTATCAGTTAAACTAACTCTACCGGCTACAAGGTATGACGTTCTACGCCTCACGATCCCAAGCTAATAGTTATAGAAAGTACTATTTTTTTAGTATTAGTACCAAATTTTATTTAATCCTACATCTTGATTAAAACTCAACATTTTTAAAGCCATCCACCGCAAGACTTGGAGGATATTTAATTGTTGCGGTAAGTGGCGAAAGCTATGGCTTAACCAGCCTAATTAGCGTTCGATGACCATATTATTAATGCAGATGGTATTCAAGGAAAGGAAAGGAGAGTGATATGAGATATTCGCATTCTCATCCTATTCTGTTAGCAATTACGGTTGCAAAAAGAATTTTCATTATTTTTTTTTTAAATGAAAAATCGAGCGAGGTACACTAATTCTGGCAAAATGGGGATAGAATGGCTCAGTGGATTGTTGCTCAATTTGGAGCGCTGATACTGAAGTTCGATTCCCCGCAGGAGTAAATCTGTACAAAAATCCGGGTGATGCTGGCGACTCACCTGTATTTCTATCGTCAAGGGACTCTCTGGCTTATTGTCCAATGCGATAAGCCAGTGGAGTGAGTTTAACCAGTAATGGTGATAACTCTTTAAAAAAAAATTCTGACAAAGTATTTACAGGGTATATATTAGAGACAATGTATTCGAGAAGATATAAAGCTAAAGGTAAAATAGCTCACTGATGTGGTTATCATTTCGCTGAGCCGGGACTGGATTTTATTTCTGGCAGAAGTGAGCCTGCCTTTTGATGATGACCGCTCATCTATATTTTTATCGTCATATGGCTCTCTAGTAAAATTCATTCTGGTCCAATAAACCTAATGGAATGAATTAGAAATGATGAGCGCAAAAAATGTGATATACCTGCTCCTCAACTGTGCCTTCTGCTGTTGAAATCTTATTTAATACATTATTACATAAAAGAACGTTTTCATCCGTATTCTGGAAGTCAAGTTCTTGAAGCCACTTCTGGTGATTGTGTTTGAGATTAATTAGAAGTTCAGGCTCTTCAAGACCTGGAAGAATAGGCAAAAGGCCAACTTCATTAAGAGCTACAGCAAGGGGGTTAACAATATGCACGATAAATGAGTCTTGCAACTTGGCAACAGCTGGTTCACTTCGATCCATGTACGGCGACACAGGCATTCCACGAAGTTTTTCCTCGTCGCCCTAGAAATTAATTCATTGAATATAAAATTTTAAGAAGATCCAGTTTTAAATACTGTCTACCTTCAGATTTAAGAATTTAGATCGTCTTCTAATAGTGAATAAAGCAAGCTTAATTAAAAATGACCTCGAAAAAAAAGTGCACCACACTTTTTGTGGCAAAAAATTACTTGCTCATAAAACTCTTCGCATATCCGATCAGTCCACCGTCGATGCAGTGGATATGGTTTCGAAGGACTATTAATATCCGCAAATTTTATTAACATTTGCGAAACCAGAACTCGATCAGATTCGTTCGTTAGATCCATAGTGGGTGCCTTCTCATTAAATTGCACAATTATATCAAAATGTTGCTTAAGATCAGTGGCGAGAATATATTCCAGTACAAGATACCTAGAAAAATAAATATATACTATCTTATGTAAAGAGCTAAAAAATGTAATTAGTGATACCAGAAGAGAATAAAAAAGAAAAACAGAATATATTGTTAAATTGGGACCTTCATCTCATAATAGATTCCTGCAGCACTACACTATAATATTTAGCTACTTAGATTACCGGTATCTGCCAGTAAGCAAAAATGGAACTTAAGTGTATCAGAAAGTCTCTAGTTAGTCATAAGCCAGCCAAACTGATTTAGTTTTATTACACATGTAAATTTAGGTCTTGAATCTCAAAATGACAATAAATAAATAAATTCTTGAGTTACGAATATAAATGCCCAAACCTGAATCGCTTAATTTCTGCTGCATCTAAGGTGTCAATAAATGTATTTTCTGATCTGCTTAATAATCGCCATGATTCTGCGGCATGATGATTTTCCAGTACTGAACGATCATTGTACAATATTGCCTGGAACGAGCTCTTCATTTGACTTTATTTGACTAGTTACATTGGTTAGTGAAAAAATTTTAAAATAGAACCAGTGTATTTAAATTTAAAAGAAACATTACTTTAGGATCTTCGCATGCAACTAAAAAAGCATTTGTTCGACCTGGATGATCATAATCATGCATCGCTGCCGCAGTGAAAAGAGCCATCAGCTGTAAGATAAACAATTATTTCATTTTTCCACATAATAAAAAAATTTTCGTGAAATAATATAATGTAAAATAATATAAATAATAATACTAAATAATAATAAAAATAAAAATCCATGAATAAATGCATGAAACTGAAATGAAATCCAAACTTTATTGTGGATCTAATCACTATTCTTTTATAAATTTTTCCAAACTTTTGGTTCTTTTTTTAATATTTATTTTATAAAATTTAAATTTGAATTAAATAAATTTTTTATTTTATTTGTAAATTCGACCATAATCTATCTATTTATTATAAAAAAAATCTTAATATTTTAAATATTTTATAAAAGTAAATATTTGAAAATATTTTATAATAGTCGAAAGATTTTATGTAAATTTAATAGACTGATCACGTATAAAAAAAAAAATTACTTCTAAAGTACTCATCCTTTCCGAAACTGGCAACGGCGAATTGTCTGCGGGTGGAAAAGATATTTTAGGACTAGATGGAGAGCGAAGGAATGCTCGAACTGGATGACAAGTCAAATAAAAACAACCATGAACTACATCAGCGGCGTGAATTCGATTATGATCTAAAAAAGGTTATGGAACTTAGCATCTTTAGTGCAGTGCATTTTATACTGTACCAATAAGATGATAAAATGATAATCCACTTTCACTCACAAAGTGATAATCAGTATCAGATAATAACTATCGCTCTTCGATTTTTCAATCTTTCCATAATAATAGCAATGTATTCTATATATGGCTTCTTTTTCTAATATTTCTCATCATTACTAGTTAGGCTGGCTCCAACGGCTCCAAAAGGTAAGGCGCTTCGTAGCAGTACGGTCTGATGATATCGTCGACAGTAATGGAACCTTTTTCCATCTCTAAGTCCATATATTGCTGGTCCACCTATACGTTCAAAATATTTTCTCACCGTATCAGCCTAGGTCTTGATTGGCCTACTTCGCTTTTGACGCCAACTATCACACGGTTTAGCAAATAATAAAATATGCGTCAACTACTGTAGCTGTGGTGGACGACGGAGAATGTGCCCTAACCAGCGAAAGCGGCGTTCTGTGATAACATTATTTATGCAAGTGGTATTTGAACGAAGATGGATGCAATCATGTGATATCTTATCCGTATGCATAATATGTACCTTAGACAAGAGTGATCGAAGGCAGATAACTTCTTAATATCCTCCATTCTCATTGGCCATGTCTCAGAACCATATAGCAAGATCGAACGGCTATATAGATGCGGACTTTCGTTTTTATGGTGATTTCACGACGACTACATAAAGGTTTCGTCAACCAGAAGAATGCATTTCTAGCTGTCGTGATCCGAGTTGTCATCTTTTGCCTGTCCATTTAGTATTACAGTGAACTCAGGGTATTTGAAATAGGACATTTCCTCAACCGACAATGAATTTACAAAAAGAGGCATTTTATCAGCTTCTTGCACATATATGGCTTAAGCATATTTTAATAAAATCCTACAGGAAATAGAATAAAGAAGGGAAATTATTATACATACAAATATTGAGATGTGCACCAGAATAATGGAAAAAGGCAACTTACATGGTATATCCCAATATCCTTTTTCAAGTGCGTGGAAAAAATTGAAGAATTTCTTTAAAGAAAGGCGAAATATACGGAATAAATCAAAATGCGCAAATACAGTATATATCAACTAAAATTTCGAAAAATTATAGTAAAATTATTTTAAAAAATTTTATTTTAATAAGAAAGATCATAATAATAGTAAAATTTTGCAAAATAGAAAAAATATAAAACTGAATCTCTTCGAAAAATCTTATCATTCATTTTGATACCATTTATCATAAAATTTATTTCATACGACTGTTTAATTAATAAAATTTTTAATTTTATTGAAAATTTTATTGAATTTTATTGAATATTGAAAAACTATGATTTTTGGAATAATGAATGGGCTTGTTATATAATGGTTTCCCAAATGTGTTTATTGATAAGAAAATCAATAATATTCAATAAATCTCCAAAATTAAATAAGAACCACCTTTGATAACACAGTAACTTTATTCTTCTCTGCAAGATTAAATATAGGAAAACCCCATTCGGAAATCCTAAGCAAATAAGGATCATTATCAATCTCGTCACAGTCGAATATTGTTCCATCGTACACTTTGGCCAAATTCTTTCCACTTTTAAAACTATTAAAATAATATTAAAATATTAAAATAAAATAACATATATTATACAAATATAAAATAATATTAAAATAATATTAAAATTAATATTATTTTAATATTCTATAAAGTTTTCAATATCAAAATAACGTATTTATTCTTGAAGCGATGATTAAATTGATAATATGAATTTTTTTAAAATAATAGAATGATAAAATTGGTAACATGGACTTTTTCAAAATAATGACGTTGAATCCTAAATATTTTCTTTCAATCAAGAAAGATATTTAACTAAGGATTCCCATTTGTTATTTACCATTTATAAAATATTCTTCGGTCATGGCAAAATTGAGAGAAATTTTCTTTTATCATTTAGCTAGGTAAATCGTAAAAGGTGTATTTTTAGAAATTTTTCAAGTTTTTTATTTCTAAAATTTGATTCGAAATTTGAACATCTAGAATTTAGAATAATAAATGAAAAAATATAATATATATATATAATTTTTACCACTTTGCATCGTCATCAAATGTTTCAATACATTTTAAGGCATTGTTTGCATGCAATTTTCGAGATAACGACTGTTCTATTGATGCTTTTGTATCTAAAGCATTTCCTAAATTTTAACTAAAATAAGCACTAAATATAAGCTGAAAATAACCACTGATTATTTGCTTTATCAGAACGATGATTAAAGAATTAATAAATCAGAAATTATGAATAATTTTAACGAATTGAATTTGTAGAAATGAATAAATTATAAGCGACGAATACAAACGATACATTCAAACGATACATTTTCTATTTCTTAGCGGATTTTTAACATAAAATTAATTTAAAAGTGAAAAAAGAATATTAAATAAAAATAAAAATTAAAAAAAAAATAAACCAATGATGCGAAAAATTAATTGGAAAATGAAATTACTTAATTCGGTAATTGAACCGTTATTTTGTTTTTGTTAATAGTAAGCAGCATGGATAGAAGGGTTCATGAAAAGTGAATACGAGTGGTTGCTGTCGACGCAAATTATTTCCTATTAATTCCTTACGGACCAGAAAGATCTTTCTTCGAGTGGACAACGAAACAAGAAATTAATATGTATTGGTTGAGGAAAAAAAAAAGAATGAATATTTTTTCTTAAAAAAAAATATACCTTTATCAGTTTCTGATGACGATGAAGTATTTGAAGTTTGAGGTGCTGAAATATGCTCCGACGATCCAATAACTCCTTGATTATCACGTTCGTGCGGTTTCCAATAGCTAAATTTTTTTTTTTTTTCGTTTTTAGATATCAAATGATGATCTGCCTTATTGTGAGTTAGTTCAGCTTCCATAATGACAAGCGAAACATTCATATTAATATTTATTTATATACAATGAAAAAATAAAATAAAAGTTTTTATTAATCAATAAATCACACATTAATTTTGGAAAAAATAATTTCGCTATTAAATAAAATAATTATTTGAAATGGACAATAAGCCTAATGAAAAGAAGAAAATAAAAATTAAGATTTTCCTATATTTTCCTAATAGTGAATTCAGAGCGCCGCCTTCGCTGGTTAGGGCACATTCTCCGTCGTCCATCACAGGAGTTGACGCATATTTCGTTATTTGCTAAACCGTGTGATGGTTGGCATCAAAAGCGAGAAGCAAACCAATCAAGACCTGGACTGATACGGTGAGAAAAGATTTAGAACGTATAGATGCACCAGCAATATATGGAGTTAACTGATGGAAAAAGGAATGGCTTCCATTAGAAGCGTCTTACCCTTGTAGCCGTTGAAGCCAGCCTGACCAGTAATGGTGAGAGCTGTTAGAGAAAGAAGAATAGTGAATTATTACAAGGAATGGTTTAAATGATGGTTATTTTAATCACCATTTATTGGTGGTCCATCTCAACTTCACTCACTAATAGAATTTAAAAAGTGGAATATTTGAAAATATTCGCGAGATGTATATGCGAAATAAATCTCTAGCGGTTACTCGAATTTCAATGATGGGTGATTTTCTGGCGAAATAATCTCAGCCAAATCGGATTTGAATTCGCCAGTTTAGCTAGCCAAATCAGAAATGTGGCTAATCACCGTATACATTATTTGCTGTTGATCGCTTCAATTAGGCTCTTAATTTTTTTTTAATGGAGTAGAAAAAATCAAATGGAAATGAATAAATGAAAATAAGAAGATGAACCTGCTTGATCTTGGCCTTGACGGTTCCGCAGCAATGGTTGGCAAACCCGTGGCACTTGTAACTGTTGAAAAAGTGATATTTGATGCTCTCGGTTTCGATGCCTGCAAATCAGTTAAATATAAAACCAATTTGACTATTCGTTCTTCTATATGGAATTCTATATTTAAACCCAATCAGGTCAAATTCAATTTCTTTACATTTATTAAAATAAAATTCATTTATTAAAAAATGTTAGAGTTTAAATTATAATAAAAATTAAAACTATTACTAAAACAAAATTTTATGCAAAAAAAATTTCAGGAAAAAATAGGATAAATAAATATATTGTAAATGCATCCATAGTGTTCATTAAAACTTTAGGACAATATACAAATTTTGCGACAATAAATTTTAAAAAATGATAATATTTATTAGAAAAATTTTCATAAAAAGTAAACAGCTTTATAACTTCTTCAATAAAATTTTTCAGCGTAATTCATCTTATTTTTATTTATTTTATTTTTATTTTATTTTTATTTAATTTTATTTATTAAAATTCAAATTATATTAAAAATTGAAAAGTTCTTAAAAAAGTTTAAATTATATTAAAAATCGCACCAATTTGTATTAATTATTTTAATTCATATTAATTTTAATTGTATTAACTTTGATGATTCAATCAATTTAATAAATTTAATCAAGAATTAAAATTTAATTTCAATTAATTTTTTTATGTTAAAAAATTTTTATTTTTATTTCGAATATAATAAAGAATAAAGATAGAATTCTTCTCTTATGTGTTCTTTGTTTTTATTCGCTTGTTTTTTTATAATCTTATTTGTAATAATTTTAATAATTGTAATAATTTTTTTAAAATAAGAATTATTTCAATATTGTTTTATTGTCTTTTATTTTTTTATTGCTAAGAAAACTTTTAAATCTAATCTGCAATAAATTAATTTTCTCATAAATTAATTAATTATGTATTCGTTAACCGAAAGGTGTCACCTCAACCTACTAATCAAATAATCAGTCAATTATTTATTTTTCAATTCAGTAGATATCATAGAAAAAATTTTTTGTATAATATTTTGTATTTGTAATTGAAAACATATTTATATTTTGAATTTATAATATATATATTTATTATTTCAGTTATATTTTGGCATAATTTATTATTTTTAGACAATTTAACATTTTAATATTAATAAATTAAGAAAGAAAGAAAATTAACTAATTAGAATTCCTAATTTTAAATTTTAAATTTCCTAAATTTAATTGAAATTAGCGAGTTTTTTCTCCAATTAATAAAAATAAATATCAAATGAAATATTTATCAAAAATTACACCCATAAAAAAATATTTTAAAAAAATAATTATCATATTTTTTTAATGTACTTTTATATTAATAAATATTTTAAATATTTAGGAAAACAATATGTTTATGTTAGGTTAATAAAATCTTTATGGAACCGTCGCGAAATCACCGTAAAGACGAAAATCCGAGTCCATATAGCTCGATCATTCTCTCGATCTTGCTATGTGGCTGGGAAATATGGCCAATAAGAGTGAAAGATATTAAGAAGCTATTAACCTTTGACCACTCATGTTTAAGATATAAATCCATCGAGTGGATAAAATCACACAAGATTGTATCCATCTTCGTTCAACTACCAGCTGTATTAATAATGTATCACGAAGCGTCGCTTTTGCTGGTTAGAGCACGTTCTCTGTCGTCCACCACAGGAGGTCCAGTCAAAACCTGGACTGATACAATTAGGAAAGATTTCGAACGTATAGGGGTACGATCAGCGATATATGGATTTAGATGATGGAAAAAGGAATGGCTTCTATTACTAACAGCGATGGCGTCGGACCGAGCAGCTTAAAGGCATTTTACTCTTAGCCAGTGGAGCCAGCCTAACCAATAATGGTGAAAGTTGTTAGAAGAAAAATTTAGGAAAAAAAAAACAAGAATAAGAAGGAATATATTCAATGAATAGTTTAATGAACTGAACTGAAATTTTAAAATTTTTATTTATTTCCTCGATTTGAAAGAATCAGTTCATTTTGAATGAGAAGATGCGATAATCACTGAATACAAATAATAAAAAAATAATTCGAGACGAAATTTTTTCGTAGGCAATCTCAATGGAAAATGGTTTTTGGGCATTTTTAGTTTCATTTTAGATTATTTCTATTCTAATTGCATTTCTTCCAAAGTTGAAATAATTTCGATGATAGGAAACAGATGAGCAGCCTTCACTTTTAAAATCTATACTCTCAACTGCACTAATTATAGCAGATACCTAATTCGAAAGCAACAAACTGGTGAAGTCCCTCAACCGTACTGATTATAGCAGATACCTAATTCGAAAGCCTATTGCAACAAACTGATGAAGTCCCTCAACCGTACTGATTATAGCAGATACCTAATTCGAAAGCCTATTGCAACAAACTGATGAAGTCCCTCAACTGTATTAGTTATAGCAGATACCTAATTCGAAAGCCTATTGCAACAAACTGATGAAGTCCCTCAACCGTACTGATTATAGCAGATACCTAATTCGAAAGCCTATTGCAACAAACTGATGAAGTCCCTCAACCGTACTGATTATAGCAGATACCTAATTCGAAAGCCTATTGCAACAAACTGATAAAGTCCCTCAACCCTACTGATTATAGCAGATACCTAATTCGAAAGCCTATTGCAACAAACTGGTGAAGTCCCTCAACCGTACTGATTATAGCAAATACCTAATTCGAAAGCCTATTGCAACAAACTGGTGAAGTAAATATGTTTCATGTGGTTATTACAAATATATTTTAAATTTATATTTTCAGATGAGCAAATCATATGAACTTTGATGAACGATCCCAAAGTACCAAAGAGAACTCATTAAAATTCATTAAAGCTCATTTTAAAAATGGCCATCGCCAATTATCATTTAAATTCTAAAAAGGAAGAAAACTGCTTAAATGAAAATTTTTATCAACAAATGAATGAATTTATTTCAGCGCTTGTTTTTATGCTAAGAAATAATTTTAAGTCAAATTTAATCATAAAATTGAATTAAGGAATTACAACTAAAATCGATTAATTCATGGTTATAATCCAATTTGTACTAAATAATTTACTTAAAATATTATAATTGTTTTAAAAATTTTTTAGAAAAATATATTTTAAATTTATATTTTCAGATGAGCAAATCATATGAACTTTGAGTAATTGCACGGTGATTTGCCGCTTAGCTTATCAAGCAATTCTTTAAATATTATCACCTATTTCCTGGAATCATTGTAAAGATTTGAAAAATAGCCATTTCAAAGAATATTAGAATATATTATAAAATTCAACGAAAATTCAAATGTAAATTAATTGAATTTTTTATTTTAATAATAGATAATTAATTAATAATTAATAATAATAATTAATAAATAAATTCTGAAATAAATATTTTTGCTTTGCAAAAAAATTTAATTCAACCGATTAAAAAAAAAATTTCAAATTAAATTTTTAATTAATATTTAATTAACTTCTAATTAATGCTATTTTAATAAATATTTTAACAAATTGATGGAGGATTTCTAAAACTAATTAATCAATTTTTATCCATAAATCCACAACTTCAATCCAACAAATGAAATATATTTACTCAATTTACTCAATTTTACTCAATTTTGATCAAATAATCCATAAAATGAAACAAAATTAACGGAATTTCAAGTTACTCGCTAAATAATTTCATGGTTTTCTTCATATTTTTCTCTATTGCTTCTTTATGTTTTCAAAAATAACAAAATAAAAAAATAAAAAATAAAAAAATAAATAAAAATATGCAATCTCCATAAATTATAATGAAGAAATTACCAGGTAAGAACCAAAAATATATATAATATTAAATTTTAAGTGGCATAAATAGAATATTTCAAACAAATCTCCATATCCCAACAATATTGTCACTAATAAATGCAAAATATTAGTAATATTTTATACTCTACGGGTCCTCAGCCTTTTTTCTTCTAACGTCCTATGAAAGGAATATTTTCTTTCCATTAGCCTTTTTTAGAATTTTAGAATTTTTGTGCTAATACTGTTTCCATATAAATTAATAAAAAAAAATAAAATGATAATCAAATTTTTTGAAATACTACAAATTTACGAGATTTTTTAAAACTGGTCTTATTTTGTCGATAAACATTTATTTGATATATGATATGCAATAATTATAATTATAAAAAATTTTTTTAAACAAAATTGAAAAATTGAAAATTACTATTAAATTGCCATATTTGCAGTATTTTGATATATACTCAGTTTATTTCTTACTTTCCTCATTAAATTTGTTAAAACTCGCTTCAACTGGCAATAAATTGGAGAAAAAGTAAAAATATTGGTTTCAATAAGAAATATTCTATTTTTTAATCTATACTATTTTTTCATTATTGTGAATTAAAATTTAAAATAATTTATTTAAATTTATGCGAAATATTTTTTGAAGCAAAAGCATAACGAATATTTTTGCATTATCATTGATTTCTCATTGATTCCCCACAGTTCTCGTCGATTCCATATCGATTCCCGTCAGGAATTGTTGAGGTAGAATATGTTGCAAAAAAAAAAAAACAGTCGTAGCAGAAGAAAACTACTAAATTAAATACTATAATAAATGCAAAGTACTAGCAATACATAGAATTTAATGATACATTAAATGAAATAATATATAATATATTAAATATAAAAATTATGCAATAAAATTGAATTTTAATTTAGTTAAATAGTTAAATTTTTAAAAAAATCATAAATTTAAGAAGCAAGAATAATAAAAAATGGGAATAAAAATCGTGATCAATTGAATTTCTTACGAGTAATAAAAAAAAAATTTTTTTTGACTTGAAATATTTAAAAGTCGAACTATTTAAAAGATAAAATTTTTGCATATTAAAATATATTAGATTGAATAAGAATTAAAATAGCACCTATCGCTGTGATAAATGATTTAATTATCAACCGCTTATCAATGAATCTGCTACCATTACCTTCATGAAAGGGGTTATATAGCTCCAAAAGAATGCTACTAGTATATAATACTTCCTGTTTATATTATGAAGGTAGGATAATGAAGGCAGTAGTTAACAGTTGTCCTGTTGAGAGTAATAGGTTGAACTCTCAGGAATAAATCTGCCTTTCTTAAATCCGGATGATGCCAATGACCCATCTATGCATTACAATTCGCTGGTAAAAATTGAACGCATATTAAAAACTTAGTGAAGCGAGCCTAATCAGCCAATTTCCGGAAAAAATAAGAAATTTCTAGATTTTCAAATCTAATAAGGCGAAAAATAATTTGTTTATGAATTGCTATTAAAAATGCCATCAATTTCACAATATTAATCAACATAAATATGTCTCATCAAAAGAAATGTTATGCTTAATAATGCAGAAATATTATGAAAATCAAAAATTTTAGAAATATTTAGGAAATTTGAAAAAAATAAAAATAAAATTTTTATAGATTTAACAAAATCTAAGGATTTTTTATCAATGAAAATCACTATATATTTTTATTAGCTCAAATTCTAAGCGAATTTTTTTGAAATTTTGAAAATTTTCATAGAACTTTTTTAAAATTAATTTTTAAAAATTAATTTTCCACTAATAAAATTTTACATAAAATTTTTAATCATATTTGAAAATAAATTTCAATTTTAAAAATTTTATAAAATTTTACCAAAAAAATTCTTTATGATTATGCCAAATTGAAATTTTAAAAATTACTCATCGAAATAGTCAACGAAATTAACGAAAATAAAACAAAAAACATCGTAGAAAATGAATGAATGAATGAATTTGACAAGGATTAAAAAATTTTATGCATCGCTAAATTCTTTTTTTTTTCCTTCTCGGAAATTTAGTGAAAAACTTAATAATAAATAAATAATATTAAATATTAATTTTTTAGTTTCTTTTAACAAAGATCGTTGATTAGTTATTTTTCGTTCATTTATCCACTTTTTGCATTTGCATTTTAAAGGAAATTATTCGCTTTACGAAATTAGCTTCCTTGCAAAACTCTTTGTTTCTGATTCCTTTTCATTTATAAATTCTTTTATT